TTTTTAGAGATACTTCAAAACTGATTTAATGTGTAAGTCATAATAATTACTTTGTAATATGTTTTTAAAACTACTTTGTAATACTATATAAATGCGTTGAAGGTCATCATGCATCGTTTAGTTAATTATATAACTAAATACGTACATAATTTGTTTATCCTTTGCAAGTTTGTGGTCCGATCCACCGTCGGTCGACACTTGTCCTCAATCAATAATTAATTTACATATATTAGCTGTAATATTTAACAACCTGACTTAGGTTTTTCGGGAAAACAAACAAAATAAAGTAATACTCAAATATCATACTTCTAGAACATCATGCTCTCCAAAATCATGTAAATTCCTATTTAATTTATAAAACTAATCTTTACACTATTTTTATAGATACATAATGCATCAAATGACATAAAAATGGAAATGTTTTGTTAAACAATTCTAATTCTCATCCATAAAGAAGGCGACAAAGATTGTAAATGTTTTCGTCTCAATTATAATGCTGAATTTAGAGAATATATCGAATAAAATTTAGGAGTAAATTAATTAAATATAATAACTATATGGAAGGAAGGAAGGGATTGAGTGTCTTTTAAAAAAAAATGATATAAGTCGTGATATTACTAAAGACAAATTCCGAAACTGACATGAGCATGAATCGAAACTCAAATCTTATGAGTCACATATAAATATAGTTTTCTGAAACTAAGAGTAATAAAGCACGAAAGTTGATAGATATAAAGGATCGTTATCTATAAATTCACATGAAGAACACTAAGAGAGGAGTGGCAAATAAAATTCATTTTATGCTTTTAAAAGAAGTAACGAACTACCTATTTATAGGCTCTTCAATTTTGGCAAGCAGACTACTATTATAGACCACAAGACGTGCTCTTATATGGTCCACAAGTTCGACATTATTACTTATTAAATTCATTCTTAGTTCTAAATTATTTGAATTTGTGTTAGATGGGCACTAATTAAAGAGATACTTAATGTAATACAATTGAAACGTTTAACCATAAAGGGTTTACATGAAGAAATATAATAGTAGAAAATCAAATATAAAGAAAATTAGCTTGACCTGCCACATTGTCTCCCCAATGACACTTAGTGACCTAGACCTCTGTCATTGGCTGTAAGACACGTCATCACCAAACAGAGATACTCCTTAGCTCACTTGTCTACT